AGCGGTGGTCGATTGCTTTTATCGATAACGCTAACCCAAACCGGTAAGTAACCTTGTCGCAAAATGAATTTTCGTTGGGCCAAACCATCGACATTTGATAGTAAATCTTCAGACAACATCAATCTAAACATATCAAATTACCTTTATTCTTCGCGCGGGGCCATTGTGTGATTGGAGAGCCTGTGAATCTAGATAAACTGAACCCACTTTCCCGCGGCAATGGCGCAAAATCAGGCCGGTTCTAAGAAGAGACGCCGTGAGCCAGTCAACGTTGATACCAAGCTGGTGGAAATATACGAAGATCTTGCAAGCGAGAAAGATGAGATCAGACTGAAAGCTGCGCAAGCGCTGGTGTCGCAATTTACGCCCGACAAGGAGGCCACAGATGAACAGATCAAAAAGACCCTGCTGAGACTCTTCCGCGGCCTCTGCAGTAGCAGAAAGGCTGCGCGCATTGGTTTTTCTATCGCCTTGACTGAGATTCTGTCTCAAGCTCTGTCCAACCCCAGAGAGTCTTCGGAAATCGATATCCCGAAGGTCGTGGGGTTCTGGGAGTCACAGTCTAGCGCTTCCGGAAGCGAGTCAGGTCAGGTATGTTTAAAGATTTCCCTGTCTGTGTTCCGTTGCTAATGGAATTATGAAGGAACAAAGAGATCATCACTTTGGACGCCTATTTGGTGCTGAGGCTATTATCAAGTCTGGTATTCTTTTCAAGCCCAAGGCGCCTTTCTCTGAGTGGACCAAACTCTTAGATCTGGTCTTTGATCTGGCCAAGAAGAAGCCATGGATCCGGGAAGAATGCGGCTGGATCGTGTACCGCTGTGTGTATGAATTATCTGCTCAGAATGCCGATGCAAAGTTCGTGGAATCTGCTCTTGAGCGTCTTTGCACAAATGACCTGGCACGGACACCAGAGGGAGTTTCCATTTGGTTAGCAGCCAAGGAATTATTCCCTAAGGTGCAACTTCCCAGTAAAGTATGGAAACATGACGACCCATTGGATGCCAAGGAGAGGAATCAGCTGGCAAAGGTCATGAAGGAATCCTCAGTGTCTGAGGCCGAAGGTGAGAATAAGGGTAGCAAGGCTAAGGCATCGGGCGTGTGGAATTCAAAGCTTCACTTTGCTTGGGATGCTGTGTTGTCCAGGCTTAGCGAAACGTCAGCAAAGGAGAGCAAGTCAAAGACCTCTAGACTTAGCTTCATTGATTTCTGGACAGAGGTTGTCGACAGTACGTCTTCCTGTTTGCCCTAACAAAGGTATTGGTTCTAACTAATCTTACATAGATGGTCTCTTTGCCGCTTCCTCCTCGGACGAGCGCAAATATTGGGGATTCCTCCTCTTCGTCAAGGTGTTGAATGAGAGCCCCTTGCCATTGGCTTCCCTTGTGTTCACAAAGAACCTTGTGAGGTGCCTTACGAATCAGCTCGCCGTTGAGGACCGATACCTCCACCGTATGGCGACCAAGGCTGCTAAGACCATCCAGACCCGCGTGTCAAAGGAGCCCGAATTTGCTGCAGCCTCGATCAGTGGTTTGATGGGCTCGGCGGGCTCAGTGAACTTTGACCAAGTCACCAAGACCAAGACGGTGGAGAAGATCGTGGTTGAGGCAAATTCAGATGCGCTTAAGCAGATTGTGCCCCTCTTCGAAAAGCTCATCGCATGCCCAGGTACAAGTGACAGCAAAACTGCTGCCTCAAGCCGCCAGTTCCTTGCTGGCTTGCTTCTGTCCATTGTTAGGTCTCGGGCTTCCGCCAGCGATGAATCAGAAGAGAGCTCTAAGGAGGTGCTCGAACACATTCTGTTCACTTTCGTGCGATTTGCCTACTTTGTGGAGAAAGATGGTGAAAGCCGTGGTCAGACCGCTGCTGAGCCAGCCCTCACTCAGCAGACTCAGGAGCTCTTCCGGAGCAGGATCAACTCCTGTCTGAACAGTCTTATCGCCAACCAGAAGTACACAACTGATCTTCCTTATGCTGTTGTCCGCAAGATTCGGGATGCAGCCAAGTCGGAGGAGTATGGTAAGTTTATCATCGCTATGGATGATACCCTACAGGATTCAGTGAAGGGCGCATTCAAGTCGCTGAAGAAATTGTCCAGCACGGTTCGTCAACCCGAAATTTGCTGACTACCCCAAACCCAGTCTAACGGTATACAGGATAAGAAGGATGATACCGCGGGCATTGATGCGTTCAAGCTTCTTTACTCTATGACCATTCTTCAAGTGTACAACGGCGATGCTGATGCTGTTTCCATGCTGGACGAACTTGACTTCTGCTTCTCAAAGATCTTCGGAGACAAGAAGTCCAAGAAGGAAGAGACAGCAGATGCTTCCGATGCGCTGGTGGAGATTCTTCTGAGTTTCGCATCGAAGCCTTCCCAGCTCTTCCGTCGTATGAGTGAACAAGTCTTCAGTGCTTTCGCCGATAAGATTTCTGAGAATGGATTGGATTCTCTGGTCTCCGTATGTGTTTTGCTCCTCTTCGTTCTGACGTTCATCGAAACTAACCACATATCTCTAGATCTTGGAAGCGAAGGAGAGTCTTGCAGGCCAGCAAGAGATGTTCGAACAGGATGATGAAGGAGAAGAAGATGAGGAAATGATGGATATTGATGAAGACGACAGCGACGTCGAAGTTGTTGACGCAGAGGGCTCAGACGATGACGATGACGAAGACGAGGAGGAAGGACCCGAAGAGGAAGAAGACGGAAACGAGGACGAGGAGGCTATCTTCGAGGCCAAGCTTGCCGAAGCACTCGGACCGCACCGTGCAAACCAAGACCTGAACGATGACGAGGAAGACTCAGACGCCGACATGAACGACGATGAGATGGAACAGGTAGACCAGCAGCTTGCTAAGGTATTCCAGGCACGCCGGGATGCCCTGAGCAAAAACAAAGACAAGAAAGACGCCAAGGGGAACATGGTTAACTTCAAGAACCGTGTTCTTGACCTTCTTGAGATCTACGTCAAGAAATGTCACTCGAAACTCTTGGCTCTCGATCTCCTTCTCCCTCTTCTGCGTCTTACTCGCAAGTCTACCGTCAAGCAGATTTCGAACAAGGCCAACTCTGTGCTGCGCGATTACACGAGACTGTGCAAGGGCTCTGCTCTGCCCAAGTTAGAATCCGTCGAGCCTGCCTGGGAACTCCTGAACTCGATCCACAAAGAAGCCAGCCACAGCGGCCCGCCCTCGCATGCTTCGTCTTGCAGCCTGGCAAGTCTTCTTATGGTTAAGGTTCTCGTCGCACACGACAAGGACAACATCTCGGGCATTGTGGATGTCTACGCCGAGACCCGAAAGCAGCAGTTCCTGAGCAAGAAATGCCATGTGCAGCCTTTGTTCTTCAGCGAGTGGAGCAACTGGTGTGTCTCCGCCAGCAAGCAGATGAAGAACTGAGCGTTGCTTCCTTGTCTCCCAGACTAGTACATAGGTTTCTTTAATCAAAACAGCCACTTTTATGATATTGTAACATAGTCCAACATATCCCGGACACAAAAATCAAAAGGTATCTCAAACATAGACATTGACCACACACAAACCAAGAGAACATGCCATCGTTAGCTAGTAACATCCAAACCACCACCCACCCATACATCCAGCCAGTTACCTAAAACCCCTTAATATACCGATGTTCGTTCGTAACCTCAAGCACATCAAACCTCATCCCGACCTCCAAGGCCCCCTCCCCCCTGGGCGCACAAAGCATGCCAAAACAAGGCTTATACTTCATGCCCTCATCCACCCTCCGATAACTCATCAGCGTATCCCACGGCTGCGTCTTATGCTTCTCCGCCGATTCGGGGTCCACATTCGGCACCTGACACCTGGCACACCTGGCCAGGACATCAAACTCCAGCACCTTCCCTGCGCCATCAGCAACCCTCACAACCTTCCACTCATCCTCCACCCAAGGCTCACCCCCCTTCACAATGACATTAGCCCGGAACCGCTCCACGCCAATCGGGCCCACGCCCTTCTCCACCAGCCGAGAATTCAGCTCCGCCATCGACGCCTCCGAGGCAACAAGCACGGGATGCACATCGGGGAAATTCACACTCTGCGTCCTTCCCAGAAGCCTCGGGTCCCCGTTGCCGCGCATCACCCTCGGCGTCGGGCCCTTATAAACGAGACAGACATCACGCCCCAGGAACGCGCTAAACGGGCCATTGACCTCCGGCCCGTAGATGTAGGCGTCCGTGTCAATGTCCCAGATCTTGACCTGGCCCAGGGTCGTGTGGGCGTCTAGCCACGCGGCATCTGGGCGGAGGGGCACGCGGACCTCCTTGTCAGCAACGCCCGTGAACGTAACCACCAGGAACTGGCTGTCCGCGCTGAGAGCGGTGTTGATGAGCGTCATCTGCGGGATCTGCCGGATGGTCAGGAAATCGTGCGTGTTGGCGTCGATGAGCATCCACCGCCGGTCGAGGTCTAGGCCTTCCATGTGCAGCGTTGTCTTCTCCAAGCTGAGGCCGCGGCATGATTTGATCGGGTACACTCTCAGAGACGTAATTTCGCTGCTGGGGTGCTTCTTTTTCTGCGTGTTGGGGAGCACTTTGGTTTTCAGCCAGTTTGGGATTTGCGGGTATAGCAGGGGGATGGTTAGGAGGGTTAGAACCGTCGCTATTGTGAGGGTTTTGGGGGCGTCAAGGTCTAGCATTTTTTTTTCTTCTCTTTCTTTTCTTTTCGTTTGCTTTTGGCTTGTTTTCTTTCTATATGCGGGCTTTGCTTGCGTGCTGTAGATAGACTACGTTTCGCGGTCTTTTTTATAGTTGGAAAGTGACCGGCCTATGGAGACGGATGAGTAAGCTTTGGGATCCACCTTCCGGTGGGTGCGGCTTCGGGCTGGTGGCCGTTGTCCCTTATACTTGATTCCGCAGATTCCCGCTTCATGCTCTCGGTGTTTGTATCGGTCTCGGGATTTGATGAATGTCGTCAGAAGTCGTTTGAAATCCTTCCCGCCGGAAAAATCTACACAGACGGATACGGTACAACAAATATCAGGCTCGATAACTGTTTATATTCATCAATAGTAGTCAGAGGGTAGATAATGTATCCGAATCCTGATAAACATGTATAACTCAACGTGAACGACCCAGGGAAAGTAGTCCCCTAAGAACAAATGATCACTCGAGAATTGAGTGACTGTAACCAAAAGCGCATCTGGAACCCGGATAGTGCACCGCGCCATAGAAATGCAAGTATATATCTCGCCCAGTGCTCATGTTCTTGCTTTGCAAAAAGATACTAGCAACCTGGATGCCTCTCTATACCTGCCCGCTAGCCCAGCTTGTTACAAGAGCTTTGATCAATCCGGCGGCAATATCTGCCCCTCTCTCAATGTCCTCGTCGGCACAAGATCCAGGCACATGGAAGAACACAACGTTTCTGTGCTGGCCTTGTTGAAACGCCTGTGCCAGGCTTGTATAAAAGATGAACTCGCAGAGGTAGCGTCCAGCGTCCTCTGATATCCGAACGTCTGCGCCGGGAGATACAAAGGACTTCCATGTGCTGAGGAAGTCGACATTGGGCGGCTGGGGGTTGAGACCCTTCTGTACTATGCCTGTGGGATCCGTCGCAGGACCAGCCTGGAGCACTGGCGGGAGCTGGTGCTCCCTCCATACCTTCTCTCCATCTTCATAACCGATTCTGCCTTTGACATCGGACAAATGGTAAGAATCTCGATGTGCCTTGGTCTCAATTGAATAGTATGATCTTGTGGCCGCTATGCCCATATGGAGCACGATGTCTGGTCGTCGACCTCCATGGGACTCGGCATAATCCTCTAGGATGGCTGGAATGGCTGTTCGCACTGTTGAGTAGGCGACAGGAATGGGAGATGGGTGCACGTGAATTGAAATTCGGCGAGAAGCAGGCCCGGATCCAGACGGCTTCGCCGAAGGAAGGTCAAGTGACTGTGGTAGAGAGGAGGCAATCAAATATGAGGCATTGACGAGGTTGGTTTTAAACGGCTAGTATGTTGTCAGCATGAAGGAAAAATCGGAAGCCAAGACGATCGAAGAATCGCAAGCCAAGTATAAGACAGCTCAACTTACTCCAAATCCTGTCACTAGTACCGAGACTTCATCTGGATCTGTCAAAGATGACGGAGCAAGACCAGGTACCTCCGTCTCGGGTACCGCTACGGGTGGGCCAAAGTCTCCCATGACTGGTGGGTAGATTAAGGAGAGTTAGGGGATCTGCGTGGAAACAACGTCTCTGTATCACAGTACGCGATAGCGATTCAAGCCACACTAAGGACAAAGATGAGGGACCAGGGATATATTAAAGATATCGAGGAGCTTCCCCCGCAATACAACCACTGCATGCGGGTCTTGGCATCACGCGATATCGATATCGATAAGGTGATAAGACACATGACCTCCCTTCTTGACCGCCAACCAAGCCTGAAGTATCAACATGCTCTTGACACCTGCGCAATTGATCCTGCGGTACTTTCTCGGGATGATATGAGGTGCTCTTGCGTCGCATGTCTTCTGGTCGCCGCTTATTGTGCTCTCGTTTCCGAGTCCTTGACCGACCATTCCCCCCTTGCTCCAGTGGGGTCAAACCGCAGACCATTGGGCAGTTCGGAAAGTTCACTAGTGAAAATGAGCTACAATGTGTACTCGATAGTTGAGGATCACCGCTCGCTTGGTTAATAGCGCTGGTCTTCACCCAATTACCTTGCGATTAGAAGACAATGAGGGAGACTTGGGCAGGGATCCCTCCAAGCGAACAAATCAGGGGGATTCAGTATGTCATCTCAGAGTTGCCGTACGACCCACTTCTTTCTATCCGGGACATCTTAATATTAGATACAACTACTCACGGTGGCTCCTCCCGTCCCAAGTATGTGCAACAAGATGGAGCTAGTGTTGAACATTCACGGGCATAAAATTATGCTGTGAACATCTGAAACCCTACGACCAATCCCTCAAAAAGTTGCCGCTGTCCATGCGGCGCAATATGGAAGACAACTTGAACACAACGACATGCCTATTTAGGAAATCAAACTGCCTATCATCATTCTCCGCCCAGAAAGCCACCCCCATGCACCAAACGAAGAAATAATATGCGGGGAGGGTCTGACAGGGTGGATGGCTGAGAGTTTCGACCATCGTCGGCAGCCGGCGGAGCTACTGTGGTGTACTTCGTCGTATTCAACGTATCGAATATATCCCCACTTCGGATGTCACTCATTCCGTGCAAAGGGGGCTATAGAGTCAGTCAATTGGAGGGCAGTTGTGTGCTTAGCGTGGGTATATAAGGCCACATCAAAAGAAAGAGGGCAGGGGCACATTCTCTGATTGACTGGCACGGAAAGCTATTACAAGATGCCTGCACTTGCTGAAATTCTTGAGAGCCATTACTTCTTCCAAGGTATTGCAGTGGCGTTGACTCTGATATTTGTGTCCAACTTTTACAGAGAACTCGCGGATGGCTTGCCATACCGTAAAATTCCCCTTGTGGGGAGAAGTAGATGGGAGATCTCGAACACCAAAGCCAAAAAGCTCTTCGTCACCTCTGCAAAGGATCTGATGGTGCAAGGATTTAGTCAGGTATCGGACGAGTCTTATCTTATCCTCGAACGAAGAAAGACAAGAGGAGATTTATGACACTGACACTTAGCTTTAGGGCAGAACCGTCTTTCAGGCCATGTTTACTTCTGGTCCGACCATAGTTCTGCACCCTTGTTATGCGGATGAGTTGAAAAACCATCCGCAATTAGACTTCAGGGCGGCGGTTAAAAAGGTAATCACTTATTAGCAGCGGCAAAGACAAGTATTGACAATCTCAGCTCTTTTTTGGTGCAACCATACGGGGGTTCGAACCCTTTGGCGACCAAACGAATCCAACAATCGGCATAGAAGTGATCAATAAGAAATTAACGCATATGCTGAGTATGGGTTTGTTGCTCGAAGAAATTGCCTTTGTTTCTAATGACGTTGTCTTTCTGTAGGCCAGTTAACTATTCCCTTGTCAAAGGAAACTGCTGCTGTGTTGACGGACAAACTACCTGGATCCGACGGTATGAAGCATGACAGCAAAGTTTAGAAAGACACTCACTGATGGTAAATGCTGCACGCTAGAATGGAAACCCTTCACTTTCGGACTGGAGGTCCCGCATATTGTGGCTCGTGTGTCGTCGCTGGTGTTTATGGGAGAGAAGATATGTCGGAATGAAGCATGGTTGAATGTATCAGTCAATTACACCATTGATGCGTTCAACGCGGCTCGTGAACTCAGAGACTGGCCAGCAGTTTCTAGGCCATTCATACACTGGCTTCTGCCATCGATGCAAAAGCTTCGACACCACAAAAGGGTGGCAGCTGAGATTGTTCAACAAGAGATCAATAGGAGAGACATGATCCGAGAAGGTACACTGCCAGAGGATAAACCCCCTAGAACGCATACAGATGCCCTAGATTGGTTTCGGGAGGTTGCTGCAGGCCGACCCTACGACGAAACAGTAACGCAGATCGCTCTTTCTGTGGCGGCAATTCACACGACGTCGAATATGCTTACGAATGTAATGTATGACTTGACGGCCCATCCGGAATACATCCAACCATTGAGAGACGAGATCAAGGCTATCGTGGAAGAAGACGGCATCCTGAAGAAGCCCAGTCTTTCTAAGATGAAGTTGATGGACAGTGTCATGAAAGAGAGTCAACGTATCAATCCTATATCTATCGGTAAGCGATTGTGGAGTCGTCTGTCCTGTTCAACTGCTTGTAGTATTAGCCTGCTGACGTGCTCCTTTGCGAAAAGCCTTCTTCAATCGCGTTGCAACAGAGTCATTCGTGCTCTCTGACGGAACTTATATCCCCAAAGGTGCCAACGTAACTATGTCAGGCCACACTATGGAAGATGAGACGGTCTATCCCAACGCCAAGGTGTATGACGGCTTTCGGTTTTACAACAAGCGCCAGGTACCTGGCAACGAACATCGATATCAGTTCGTAACTACCAGTCCAGAACACTTGGGTTTCGGCCACGGCATGCATGCGTGCCCTGGCCGCTTCTTCGCTAATAACGAGATCAAAATTCTCCTTGTACACCTGCTAATGAAATACGACTGGAGATTTGCCGACCACGTTGACCGGCCCCAGTCGATTCTGCACGGAACTGAAATTATGTCCAACCCCACGGTGAAACTACTTTATAAGTCACGACAGCCGGAAATTGACTTGTCAGCGTTGGAAGAGGGAACCACTGACTAGTTATTACCTTCTTCACTTTGGATGTCTTTTCTTGATGTGGCATGAATATCTTTTGTCTTTCTTTGATGTCTTTCTTTCCTCTCATTGAAGGCCAAGTGTTGTGCTGTGGGGCTGTACAGAGACGATGAGAATAGGATCTTTTTTACAGCGGAAAGTAAGGAGTAATCAAGTTTTTCCCTCCATCTGCCAACCATATGCATGTGCGGGACACCAGAGGACAAGATCTCCAACAGTTGGGCAACAAAGCACGTAAGGAGGTTTAATACTGAGCATGAGACCCGATGTCGCAACGATCTCATTTAACAGCGGTGTTGTCTTCGATAATAAACGACACTGGACTTACTCGACCAACATTAGTGCCTACTATGATAACTTGCAGATGGGTATGTCTACATTGCGTACACTATATACTACCAAGTTGGGTTCGCATATGCAATTCCAACATAGGATAATTCATAATCCATGGGTAAATCACTGCAGCTGTGGCCATAGTTCTAACTGCAATTGTTTAAAACGTACCGGTGCATTTGCATGAGAGGTAAGGAGTATGCAGCATGTTGGGCTGGCCTCCATTGGCGGCGAGAATCAAAAAATAAAAGTAACCCCGAAAAAGGAAGTAAACAGTACTTCTGCATTGTTTATATCGACGCGTCGTCCGAATTGATAACAAGTGTCATTGAACTATGGTAACATCCCGAGTGGGTTCGAGCTAAATGGAAGCTATCTTCTGCGTATGGATACACTATGGAGACCTAGACCTCCATGTACTAAAATTAACATCCATTCCCGTCCCCCAAAACTTAGACGAGGCCACCGAGGTATTGGGGGCTGATATTGTTAGCCTAATCCGGTGGATTTTTCACTTAGTTCTTGCATAGGGTCTAAGCGATGGACGTATGGACTCCATCCCCAGCCTCCTGGATTTTGGAGGTTCTTTTTTTGGAGATTGAAAGAGGAGAACTGTTGTTTATATGGTCCATGCTTTTTTAGTCGATGGAGAAGTGGTTGATAGTGCCGATTTTGCTCAGGAACAGAAGCCTACTAAGGTTAGCCGCCTCAGGTAACCTCCCGCTAACGGCTTAAACTACTTTGGGATGAGATTAGTTCGTGTAACCCGTTGGTAAATTCTAGGGTACTAGTGGACCATGGGAGAAGATACATATATGTGATTGGATAAAAGCCTAGAAGAATACAGTAATGTTACCTGTCGCGCGTAGTCCGCGCGAGAGACGCGTTGACACGCGACACCCCACTTTCCCACGCGTTTGGAGCGGTGGGACTCGGAATCGATGGGCGATAAGCGAAAAAAAAAGAGAGATGTATCGGCACATGTCAATGCTTTTCCGCCGTCTTCGTTAGGCACAACGGCAGTTACGGCCATTGACCCCTTCTTTCAACCTCTACCCTTCAGGACATGTCCGGCACCCTCTGGTGAACCTCGTGCTTCCGGGGATAGATCCAAACGTCTCAATCCGGCGGCGAGGCGGTTAGTCGCGTCTGTCCATCCTCCTAATGCCGGGTGTGGTAAGACTAATGCAAGCCCAGTCTCTGTTGGTTCGTCTGTGACGGTGGTGGAGTACGCTTCTGCATGAGACTGGAGTTCGAGATTTCCAAGACCACTTGGACTCTCTGATGACACTGGCACGAACCACTCAGCGTGACTCCGAAATTCCTGGCCCGAAAATTTCTCCCAGCCACCGACTCTGATCACACGGTTTCCTGGATCTAAGTTTTTTTTTTTTTCTGCCTTATTTTTAATTTTCATTTTTTCCTGGCTACTCCTGGGAGAGAGCTCTCGTCGGAACTTCTGCAATGACTGGATGTAGATCACTTGACGTTGTGTGAAATTTGGGAAGTGATAATCTGATAGCCATACGCACACGTCGGTCACATCAATAGGGTTCCCTGACAGTGTGATTTTCCATGCATCCCCCCAATGGGAACGAGGTGTAATAAAACTACGAATAATTCTTCCTGATCGGTGAACTGATTCGCCAGCAGTGGTTGTAGTGGACATCCCCCCCAAATGTACCTACACCCTTACAGTTGGGGGAAATACCACGCAACGGTAGACTCAGAGA